ATTGTGCTCAAGTGCTTGGATTCCTGCCACCCACAGGGAAGACTGGGATGGTGTTCTTGGCTCCTGGCTTCAGCCTGGTCTAGCCTCAGCCATCACAGGCTTTGGGAAGTGATAACTCTGCCTTTCAAATAAATGAATAAGCAATTTTTTAAAAAAAGTAAAAGAGGGCCGGCGCCGTGGCTCAATAGGCTAATCCTCCGCCTTGTGGCGCCGGCACACCGGGTTCTAGTCCCGGTCGGGGCGCCAGATTCTGTCCAAGTTGCCCCTCTTCCAGGCCAGTTCTCTGCTATGGCCCAGGAGTGCAGTGGAGGATGGCCCAAGTGCTTGGGCCCTGCACCCCATGGGAGACCAGGAGAAGCACCTGGCTCCTGGCTTTGGATTGGCTCAGAGCGCCGGCTGTAGCAGTCATTTGGGGAGTGAACCAATGGAAGAAAGACCTTTCTCTCTGTCTCTCTCTCTCACTGTCTAACTCTGTCTGTCAAAAAAAAAAAAAAATAGTAGAGGACAGATCATTTCAGTCAGTATTACCATGAAACAAAGACAATACCTCAAAAGAAAAAGATCATAAATTAATATCCCTTGTGACCAGAAGCAGAAAAATCCTCAGCAAAACAAAAACTGAATCCAGCAAAAATATAAAAAAAGATTAAACAATATAATCAAGTGGGATTTATCCCAAGAATGTAAAATTAGTTTAACATATAAAAATCAATTAATGTAAAATACCATGTTGATAGAATAAAGGATAAAAATCATATTATCATCTTTTTTTAAAGATTTATTTATTTTTATTTGAAAGTCAGTTACACAGAGAGAAGAGAGGCAGAGAGAGAGAGAGAGAGGTCTTCCATCCGATGGTCCACTCCCCAAATGGAGCTGCGCAGATCTGAAGCCAGGAGCCAGGAGTCTCATCCAGGTCTTCCATGTGGGTGCAGGGGCCCAAGCACTTGGGCCATTCTCCACTGCCCTCCCATGCCATAGCAGAGAGCTGGATTGGAAGTGGAGCAGCCGGGCCTCCAACTGGCACCCATATGGAATGCCGGCGCCTCAGGCCAGGGCTTCAACCCACTGTGCCACAGCTCCAGCCCCTCATATTATCATCTTAATAGATGCAGAAAAAAACATTCAACAAACTCCAACACCAATTCTTAAGAAAAGATCTGAAAAAACTGGCTATAGATGAGAATTTCCTCAGCCTGATAAAGGACATCTATGAAACCCATAGTTAACACCGTAATTATAGAGACCATGAAAGACTGAATGTGTTCCTCCTAAGCTCAGGAGCAAGGCAATGATTTCTGTTCTCACCTCTTTTATTCAAAATTGTCCTAGAGATTCTAACCAATATAACAAAACAAAACAAAAAAAAAAAAGAAAAGAAAAGATATCTATACTGGGAAGGAAGAAGTAAAGCACTCTTCATCTCAGATCATATGATTCTATATATAGAAAAACCTAAGGACTCACAAAAAAAAAAAAAAAAAAACTAGCAGAATAAATGAGCTTAGTAAGGTCACCAGACTCAAGAAAAACATATGAGAATAAATTGAATTTCTAAATTCTAGCAATGATCAATCTTAAAATCAAATTAAGAAAACAATTCCAAGGAAGTGACCAGAATAAATACCAGAGCTTTTCACAGGAAACCATAAAACACTGCTGAAAGAAGACCTAAATGTATGGAGCGACTTTTACAGATTAGAAGATCAAATGGCAATTTTTTCAAATCAATCCATACATTCAAAGTAATCCCTACCAAATTACAGGCTTTTTTTGCATAAAATTACAATTTTATACTAAGTTTTACATGAGAATGCACAGGACCCAAAAAAAATATCAGAAAGGACTAGCTAACCTACCCTGCCTAATTGCAAAACGTACTGCAAAGCTACAGTAACCAAGATAGCATGATAGTGCAATCAGGACAGTCACACAGGCCACTAGAAAAGAACTGAGGTTCTAGAAACAAGTCCTGATTTTCAAAAAGATATGGAGGCAATTCAATGAGGAATGGATAGTCTTTTCAGCAGTGGTGCCTGGACAACTGGATATCCACACAGAAAACATGAATTAATACCTTCATCTCACAAGACATAAAAATTCATTCATATGAATATCCCTTGTGACCAGAAGCAGAAAAATCCTCAGCAAAACATAAACTGAATCCAACAAAATAGAAAAAGGATTAAACAATTTGATCAAGTGGGATTTACCCCAAGAATTTAAGATTTGTTTAACATATAAAAATCAATGAATGTGGCCGGCACCGTGGCTCAACAGGTTAATCCTCCACCTCGTGGCGCCGGCACACCGGGTTCTAGTCCCAGCCGGGGCACCAGATTCTGTCCTGGTTGCCCTTCTTCCAGGCCAGCTCTCTGCTGTGGCCCGGGAGTGCAGTGGAGGATGGGCCAAGTCCTTGGGCCCTGCACCCACATGGGAGACCAGGAAAAGCACCTGGCTCCTGGCTTTGGATCAGCGCGATGCGCCGGCTGCAGCGCGCTGGCTGCGGCAGCCATTGGAGGGTGAACCAACGGCAAAGGAAGACCTTTCTCTCTGTCTCTCTCTCTCACTGTCCACTCTGCCTGTCAAAAAAAAAAAAATGAATTGATGTAAAATACCATCTTCTACTGCTTTCCCAGGCCATAGCAGAGAGCTGGATTGGAAATGGGGCAGTCAGGTCTTGAACCGGCATCCACATGGGATGCCAGCACTCCAGGCCAGGGCTTTAACCTGCCACACTACAGTGCCAGCCCCCCAACAGTTCTATTTTTTCTAATGGGAAAGGGTTTAGGCAATGTCTTAGTCGATTTTATATTGCTATAAAATGGATAATTTATAACAAAAATATTTGGTTCATGGTTCTGAACACTGGTGCCAACATCTAGCAGGGGCCTTTGGGCTGTGTCATCTCATGGCAGAAACAAAAAAGCAAGAGAGGACATGAGCAAGAGGGAATCAAACCTGCTTCAGTAACTAACCCACAGGCTCCCTCCTCAGGGACCTCTCCTGGGACTTTTTCTGTTTTTTTTTTTTTTTCCAATAAATTTCCTTCATACCCAAAAGTAAATAAATAACTCACTCCCATAAAATGACATTTATCGATTCAGGAAGGCAGACTCCTCCTCACCTGATCACCTGTTAATTGACTCCCCCTACCTCCCAATTTGATTGTATTGGGGATTAAGTTTTCACCTCATGAACTTTGGGGAACATTCAAATCATAGCAGATAGTACCAGGGAAAGGACAGTGAGTCAACAGAGAGGTTTCTTAGCAGAAGAGAGACTTGAGCCTGTTTGTAGGCTTCAAAAAAAGTCAATAAAAAAGAGGAAAAAGTTAAGATTCATGATGACAGATGAAGCAATGAGAAAACCAAAAGGGGACGGATCAAAGGCACACTGAAGAGCCAGCAGTCTACAGAAGGCGCTTTCCCTATCCTCTAAGACTCCAGGAAAGCAGGAGAGGAGGCATGGATATCAATAAATCCTATTTCCTTTTCACCTTAGGATAAGGATCTCCATATGGGAAACCAGTTCCTTTAATCTTACTAGAGCAGACTCATATTTAGGATTCTCAAATGCCAATCCTAATACCAAAGAAGCCCAGGGCTTGCGTTTCTTTGGCAGAAAGGGTATTTAGGGATTGTAGTATGATGAAGACACAAGTTCTGATTAGATATCAATACCATTTTAGCTGTTTGGTCTAGCTAGAAATTCCATTTGAATGCCTAATTCCTCATCTGTAAAGCTTGGTGACCCTAGGTCAGCCCTAGGTAGAAGGTTATTGAGATCCCCTTGGTTGGGACAGGTGTTGTGTGGTACAGTGGATTAAGCTTGGGAAACCTGCATCCTGTATCAGAGAGCCTACTATTGCCTATCACCTCTGCTTCTGATCCAGCTTCTTGCTAATGTGCCTGGGAGGTAGCAGATGATAGCTCAAATACTTGGGTCCCTGCCACACACATGGGGGACCCGGATGGAGTTCCAGGCTCCTGGTTTTCACACTGTCCAGCACCAGTGTTTGGGGAGTGAACCAGTAAATCAAAGATCTCTCTCTCTTTCAAATAAATAAATACCCCCTTGGTTGGAAACAATGGAAACTCACAGGACGACTGAAGCATAAAAAGGGACTGAAGGGAGGTGTAATGGGTTTTTTGTTCCCCAAGGGTCCTTGTGTTAGAAGCTTGGTCCCCAATGTGGGAAAGCTGAGGTGATGGACCTTTGAGAGCTGAGGTCTAGAGGGACGTCTTGAAGGCCCTACCCTCAGAAGGGTTAAGGTTGTTTTCAAGAAGAGGCTGTTACAAAAGCCTGAGCCACTGAGCATCCTCTGCCACTCTATACCGAGATATGATCACTTGCTCTGCATGCGCTCCCACCGTTGTCATCTGCCAGGATGAAGCACTGCTGAGAGGGCCCTCACCAGAGTTGTACTAGTGCCAGTACTATGCCTTTGGTCCTCCAATACTGTGAGTTAAAGAAATCTCTTCTTTATAAGGAGTCTGCCTCGGGTAGTTCATTATAGTGATGAGAAACTAATACAGAAAAGAACTAGGATGTGGGAAGAGCAAGGACCCACCCACCCTGGGGTCAGAACAGTGAGTGGGTCTTTGTGTGCTCTCACAGATCCAACAATTCCCAGGCTACATAATGCTCTGTTCTGAGTTTCAAATTCCTGAAAGTGATCATGATTACACGAAATTGAGTTAAGTGTCTACCTCTGGATCGACTGGCAGCAACCAAAGGGCAGGTAGCCTCAATTGGAGAAGGTCCATGAGACTTTGTCCCTGTGCTCTAGAGCCATTCACAGTTAAGGGGGAATTGCGTACTGGGCAATTTCCTCAAGAGATGTGTATTAAAAGCAATAATGCTGCACCAATCCTCTTCCATGTGAGGCCAGCATCAAGATGTAAAGACAAAGCAGGGTTCAGTAACATTCTGATTTTCTCCCCCATAGTCTCTTAAATATCCCAACAAGTTTTTGTCTAAGGCCTAAAAGAAGTTACCTTTGGGGCTGGCATGTGGCATAGTGGGTTAGCAGCTGCCTGCAATGCCGGCATCCCATAATGGCGCTGGTTCGTGTCCTGGCTGCTCCACTTCTGATCCAGCTTCCTGTTAATGGCTTGGGAAAAGCAGCAGAAGATGGCCCAAGTGTTTGGGTCCCTGCTGCTGATGTGAGAGACCCAGATGAAGCTCCTGGCTTCAGCCTGGCCCAGAGCTGGCCATTGTGGCCACCTGAGAAGTGAACGAGAGGATAGACAATCTCTTTCTGTGTGTCTCTCCCCCTCTCTCTGTAATTCTAAATTTCAAGCAAATAAATACATTTTTTTAAAAAATACCTTGTGTGGCACCATTCTATTCCATATGCCCCACTAAGGATATACACTAAACCATCTCCAAGAGGCTTCCTCTTATTCTCTCTCCATACTCTGATCAATTTTTATAATTTAGCAAAAGTCTCTGCTGAACATGAGAATTTTACATGCATAAAAAAGAAGTTTGATAAATTTTGAGTCACTAATACTTTAATAGCAATAATAAGTTAAATGGTTATTATGCATTTTGCTTAAGCAAGGCACCCCCCTCCATGAAGTAATTTGTCTCTACCTTTTTAAGAACATCCATTGCTTTCATTCCTCTACTGAGAACAACTCATTTTCCATTTTGTAGTATAATTATGGTTCTCTGTCGATGCCTGTCTCCCTCTATGAGATTATAGCTCCAGGAGGGAAAAGTACTGAGTCCTACGCTTATTTACCCCCTCCCAGTTCTTAGTGCCATGCCTGGCAGACTATAGATGCACAATACTCATTTTTTTTTTTTTTTGAATGAAAGAAGGAATTAACCAACAGAGATTTCTATGGGGATATTATTACAACCTCCTTTTCCATAGACGCCTGTCAAACGGTCTAGAAACAAAGCACTTATTTAAAATGGTTCAGAGGACTCTGTGAAATGCTTGGTGTGATATAATACTAGAGATTAGTGGACCCCTAGACTCTATGGAAAGCTGCCTTGTCTTTAATGTTTGTTTCACGACAAAGGACAGTGGGTCCTGAGAAACAAGTACTCACCTTTAAAACACCACATATTTCTCAGGGCTGGTGCTGTGGTGCAGTGGATTAACACCCTGGACTGAAGCGCCAGCATCCCATATGGGCACTGGTTCTAGTCCCGGCTGTTCCTTTTCCGATCCAGCTCTCTGCTATGGCCTGGGAAAGCAGTAGAAGATGGCCCAAGTCCTTGGGCCCTGCACCTACGTGGGAGACCCGGAAGAAGCTCCTGGCTCCTGGCTTCGGATAGGCGCAGCTCCAGCCATTGTGGCCATCTGGGGAGTGAAACAGTGGATGAAGACCTCTCTCTCTGTCTCTGCCTCTCTCTGTAACTTTGTCTTTCAAATAAATAAAATAAATCTTAAAAAAATAAAACAACACATATTTCTGATTAGCAGCCTCTCCTTTCTCAGTGGCAGTAGAGTAAAATAGTTAGGAGCTCGGGGTTTGAAGACAAAATACCTGGATTCACCTCTCCTCCATCACATATTAGTTATGCGACCTTAGGCAAATTGTTTAACTGCTCTGTGCCTCAGTGTCAACGCAGGCCCTCAAAAGAAGGGTGTGAAATAGTGACAATATGTTCAAGGTGTTGGGAAATGGTGTCTGGCACTTGGGGTTTGAAAGCAACAGCAACCCATAGTACTCTACTTACCTCATGTGCCCTACTGGTAAATGCCATGTGGAGTGCAAAGTGAGTTCCTTTTCACAACCCTCTTAGCACCTAGCACAGCGTATAACAAACGCTAGATGTCCAAAAACTGATGCTGTAAATTCTTCTTCAGCTATATAAACGGAACGCACAAGAAAACGAAGGTGTGTTAGAGTGCAAACGCAATGACTTTGAACAAAAGGGTTCTTGGTTTATCATGTGTGTGTCTTCAGTTACTTCCTTAGAATTAGTTGCTAGGTGTCTGATGATTTGATCTTCGTTTCCTTGCCCTCTTCAACACATGCACTGTAGCTTGCTGGAGCGCACGGCCCAGCCCTCAGAGCTGCTGGCCTCCTGACAAGCTGGCTGTTTGGAGGCTGAGAGATGAAGTTGCCGCAGCAAGAAGCGGGTTAGGCGACAGCCCGGCTTCGCTGCTGGCGACGGAAGGCCAGTGATTTCAGAAAAACCGCACAGCGGACTGGGCCAGCCTAAGACTTGGTGAGGGGTCATCTGGGTACTCCGGGGGCCAGTGAGGTTCGAGCAAGGTGAGCGCCCCAACGCCGGGGTCGGGAGCCTGGAGACCTGCCTGGGCGGCTGGTAGGGCCCGCCGGATGAGTCATTCTCCCTACCCCGGGAACGTGCTAGGGGCAGCATCCACCGGGACCCTGCCTACGCCCGGGCTCAAAGCAGAGCGAGGAGCGGCCGCAGCCCCACGGGGCGCCTCCTCGGGGCGAGCACTGACCTTGCCGCAGGCGGCCGGGCTGGCGCAGCACCCGCGCCGCAGTGCCAGGCTCTTTCGAAGGTTGCCCACTGGCACCTCAGACGACCACTCATCAGAGCCGGCCGCCGCCCTGCCGCGCCGCCTTCGCGCGGACGCCAGCTCGCCAGGCCCGGGTCGAGCGGCGACGGCGGCCCCTCGAGACGCAGGAGGGCGAGGCGGGGTCGGGGCGCCCGGCGCGGGCGCACGCGCTGCAGCGGGGTGGGGGCGGGGCGGGTGGGTGTGCGCCGGGAGCGCGCGCCGCCGCCTCAGCCCGCCGCTCCGCCCGCGCCGCCCGCTCCCGGCGCTCGGCCCAGCACCTCGGCTCCAGAGCGGCCGTGGGCAGCGCGGGGCCGGCGGTGTAGAGTCCGCTAGCCCCAGACCCGCGTCCCGCACGCAGGCTGTCCCGGTAAGCGGGGGCGGGGAGGGCGGGGACCGGGCCGTCGCCCTAACTGGCGGGTCAGGGGGCTGCGGGCAGTCCTCTGGGGATTCTGGGGTGCTTACGTGGGGGTGCCCCAAAGGCGCCCCCGTGTAAGTGGATGAACCCCGAGTGACTGCTCCCTCCACTGCCGGGAGTCCCCTGAGGCGGTGTGGGGAGCCGCCCCCGTGGAAGACCCCGTGTGTGTGAATGGAGACTCCCAGGACGCTGTCTGCAGTGTGGAGGGCACCGTCCCCAGGGAGGCGTTCTGTGCAACTCCGGGAGCAAGCGCGGAGGTGGTCTGTGGAGTTGGCTCAGTAGGACATCCTGGAACCCAGGGGAGACGCAGGAGCCTGTGTGGTGGTGATGGACACCCCAGGAGACCCACTAGATACAAGAGGACCTTGGGTTGTGCCCTAGAACGGCCTGGAACCTCTCTGCCTGGGGTGAGAGATCCTGCCAAGAGATCCATGAATGACTTCTAGATCCAAGTACTTCGGCCTTGACCTCCTTGGAGAGCTTAATGTGCCTTCACTTGTCTGTCCTCAGAATGGTCAAGAGCGGGTGCCCCGTGGTCATTCAACCTCTGACCAGTCCCCCCACCCCCACCCCCACCCCGTTAGGATTTTTCTGGCTCCAGACTGGGTTTTCATGGATGCAGGAGGTGCAGTAAGAGTACAGGGTTCAAGGGAGGGATAGACCAGAGACCTCTGACCCAAGGATAGGAGATCTGAACCCTTGGGCTTGACCACACACAAGGAAAGCAATGAGATCAGGTGGAACAGCTGACTTTGGCAAGCCCTAGAAGGGAAGTCCTTTGGGGGAAGAAAGAACTATGAAGGATTACCGAGCACCAATGTGCCAGGTACTACACTGGGCATGTTAAAACCTTTTGTACAGTCCTGAAAACAGCTTGTGGAATTACCCCCTTTTACACCTTAAGTACTTGAGATTCAGAGAGGCTTAGCAATGTGCTCAATATTACAAAGCTTAGCTGCATGGAATCTGTTCATATTTTCTTTGGGAGAAAGTATCAAGGAGAGGCAGAAGACAGAAGGGATGCTTGTTAATGGGTTGCGTTAAGGTGCCAAGCATAGGACTTCGTAATAGTATATGCTCAATAAATGTGATCATTAAACAAGTGAAGGGGATGAGGCTGCTATAGGAGCTGATTTCCAGTGCGTCCCCAGATTTCACAGCGTTAACCTCCTTCATTGGCAGCCCCGCTGAAATAAAGCCTTAGGCCGGCTCGACCTCACTGAGTCTGAGGGAGGCCTCTGGTGTGGTGTTTGGCAGGTCAGAGGGGCCCTCCAGAGAGCACAGCATCCTGAGACCACCTTCCCTGCTGCAGAAGCCCGAGAGAGAGGAAGAAGAAACAGGATCACTTGTAGAAAGCACGATGCCAGTTGTCCCTGTAGCCCTCTGACTGCGTGCACCCGTGGACACCAGTGTTACCAAGTGGAATGCTGGCACCACTCAGGACACTTGCCCAGTAGTGCCTCTGCCTGAGGAGGAGGAGGGGAGGAGAGGAAATGTGCAGTATTAGCAGTCTCCAGGCTGGGGAGGTGAGGATCTGTGCCTGGCACAGTGATGCCTTCTGGCCTGGCCCCATGGAATATTTTCATTACAGCTGAATCCCAAGAGTTCAGCTTTAGGCCCAAGGATAGATTCTGACTTCCTGTCCAAAAATGGAGTGGTGAGAAGGCCAAGCCATTGTGTCTACCATAGAGCCATTCTGGGAGAGTTTTCCTATTCCCTTCCTCCCTTCTGACCTGGCCAAACCTAACGATACCCTTCTTTAATAGGACTGGCTTCCATGGGATCCTGGGATACATTGTGAGAGGAGAATGGTTAAACATTTTTTTTTAACTCGATGGCTGACTGAAGGATGGGTGTGGTACTTCACGCACAGCTTGGTGGAGTAAAAACTCTGACAAAGCTTTATGTTAGTTAGCACCTCTGTTGTTTAGAATCCCTTTTCCTTTCAAACTCCTCTCATCTGTTTAACAGACCAAGATAATCAGGGGTGTATCAAGAAAGTCAGAAGGATCCAGCCTGCAAATACAGTCTTCGCTCCAATTCAGAGATGGGTTGTTGAAGTTTTCTAAATTGATCTCTTCATTGAGGGCTCTCGGTACCACACTCCCATGACCCTGGAAAGACTGCTACCTGTATCTAGATGCTCCCCATGTCTTGGACCTTGAATATCATTTCTTTGATGTCCAGCACAGGATAAACAGTAAGCTTTCGAAAATCCTAAGAATACTCCCTGACTCCTCCTTAATCACAACATTGAGTCTGAAAATCAAATTATTCCAGAATGTTTATGAAGGATGTCACCAGGTGGCCTTAATCTCAGAAATGCTCTCACAAGTGAAATGAAAGGGGAGAGAATGGCTTGCCCAGTTTGACTGAGAGTGTGCGAATGTGTCTAGATTTTACTCTCTGGATGTTTCAACCTTTGATCTTTTACCTATTCTCTGATCACATTCATATGCTTTTCTTCTTCCAATGTTTGCCATATCTTTGACAGTGCTTCCTTTTCCCAGAACAGGAATGCTAAGACCTTCACAGGCCCATTTTTTCCAGGACACCTCTTCATAAGTGGATCATATTTATGCAAATAGTTCCCTTCTCTTTAGCCACAGAATCTATTATCTTTCAATCCTTCCTGTTTCTCTCCATCAGTGCCACTTGGTTTCAGCTATCTTCATTTCCCAAATTGATTTATTCATTTCTGATGGGAATGTCATTTTCTACTCCACCCCTCAATCTTAATGACCAAGGAATTGCTTACTAGCTTTGGATCAAGAAGCCAAGACCATCAGACTCCAGCTGGAGACATGTTTCATTTTCCCATTATGACATCCCCCTCCATTCTCCCCGCCTTCCAGCAATCTCCTCAGAGACCCACATACGTTTACTGAGTGTACTTACTTGCCAGGCACTATGCTAGCTAAATAGGAGAGTTTCTTGCCCCTCAGGAGTTCACGTAGACTCAGTCTGCATTTCTCTAACCATTTACTGTAAAAGCGTAGGAAAAGTAATGGGAAGTTTACAACTCTACAGAGTATCTACAGGAATCAGTATAGAATATGCTTTTTCCCAAGCATCATTGAAACTCAGCTGCTGTTGTGTGCCTCTTCTGGCAGCCACATGTAGCCCCCGTGCCACTGCCCTGCCAGAATTAGTTTTGCCCATATTCTTTGAGTGAACGAGCCACACTCTTGCCTTATGTTTTGAAAGAATAATATAGTTTACAGAACCTTATGTTTTGGAAGAATAATACAGTTTACAAAGCCTTTGACCTATGATCTGGTTGGTTTGAGAATGTCTCATCTTACTGAAACCTCACTGAAACAGCCTTACGTGGGCTAGCTGGTGTTCTCTCACACTCTCACTTTCTTCGTTTGATTTTTGAGGTTTGTGAGTCTCCTCTAGGGAAAGCCCAGTGATTCACTGCAGTCACCACCTACCAGTGCTTAGGTTGTGCAGAAGAGTTTTCTGCTGGGTCCTAAGGCCAAGCAATGCATGGGTCGGTCAACCCCTGGACTCCTCAGGACTGTCCCTCTTCTTGGCCTCAGAAAATCCAATTTTCTGGGTTTTTTTTTCCCCCTCCCTGAAAGTCAAATACAAATTCCCTTCTAAGCAAATATTTTAAGCATACTATCTCAGACCAGTTCTTTGGGATGATGCTAATTCTTATGTGAAGGCAGGTTTCCTCGCCTATTTCTATTCAGCCTCCAGGCTGGCTTCATACCATCTAAGTCATGATGAAGTCCCCATATAGCTCCATGCCTTGGCATGTGCTTTTACCTCTTCCTGGAATGCCTTTTTTTCCTTATCTACTGTGGTAACTCCCACTCACATTCAAAATTTAGCTCAAGCAACACTTTTTTTTTAATCCTACACTTGTGCCCCCTACACTCGCACATACTCACTGCTTTCTCACAGGCTGAGTGAGGCTCCATTTGTTCATTCTGCCAACAGTGATTAAGCACCTGAGTGCACTTGACACATAGTAGGCTGGATTCAACAAATGTTTGTAGAATCAACAAACAAGTAAATTAAAGTTTAATAACTTCATTAGTGGGGCCCAGGGCAGAAAACAGGGAGTGCCCCTCCATTGTGCTGGAAAGCTCTGTTTGCTGAGTGCAGTCACACCAGCCAGTCATGGTTGGCCCTGATGTTCCCTAACTGTTGCTCTGCTTCTGTGGGAGGTCAGCTCTGTAGCTCTTAATGAAGACTACGTCTGTGCCCCCTGAGGCTAAAGATCATGCCATGATTTTGTTCTCCGTGTATATTAGAACCTTGTGAGCTTGC